ACTTTTTTGTCAATAAAGGGGTAAAATACTTTGCTGGTATTATTATATTATTTAGAGAAGAAGAAAGAGTAGTATTTTTATCCTCTCCTCCCCATCCTTTCCTTCTTTTCTTCCCTCCATCTTTCTCGATTCTTTCCTTTTATTCATTCATTCATTCTATTCTTTCATTTGCATTTATATATTTATCTAGAGTTAGTAACAAATGAGCATTATGAGAAGCTTGTTTTAGTTTGCAAACATGGGGAAACAAAGATGATTGAGCTTGAGATAATGTGAAAGAGGAAACCAGAATGGCATGTGCTAGTGAGCAGAAAACAAGAAAAATGGAGAAAACAAAAAGAATGGGATTTGCACTCCTTCTAGTCAACCGGGAGGCAGAGCAACCTCCCCAGCAGATACAGAGACACAGATCAAGCCCATCACCCTTGAGGTTGAGCCCAGTGACACCACCGAGAATGTCAAAGCTAAAATCCAAGGCAAGGAGGGCATCCCGCCTGACCAGCAGCATCTGATTTTTGCGGACAAACAGCTAGAGGATGGTCTCACTCTCTCAGACTACAGTATTCAGAAAGAGTCCACCTGCACTTGGTGCTTCCGCTGAGGACTGGCATCATCGAACCCTCCCTCCGCCAGCTCCGGCAAAAGTACCAATGAGACAAGATGATCTGCCCCAAGTGTTACACCAGCCTGCATCCCGGTGCTGTCAACTGCACAAGAAGAAGCATGGCCACACCAACCTGCATCCCAAAAAGAAGGTTAAATAAGGCCCCTCCACCAATTTCTTGGGTCCCCAGGGCAGCCTTCTACCTGAACCCTGTGACACTGGGGCCTCAAAAAGTTTCTCTTTTGTTGACTGGGGGCGGGGGGGTGGGGGGGGAGGGAAAAAAAGAATGTGATTTGCATCTGAAGAAAGCTCATTGTAGCCTGAAATAATAAGACAGTAAAATTTCTTATATATTCAAGTCACAGCTGGCGTTAACTTTTTTTAAATACATTTAATTTATATTTTTTACAGAGAGGAAGGGAGAGGGACAGAGAGCTAGAAACATCAATGAGAGAGAAACATCAATCAGCTGCCTCCTGCACACCCCCTACTGGGGCTGTGTCTGCAACCAAAGTACATGCCCTTGACCAGAATCGAACCTGGGACCTTTCGGTCTGCAGGCTGAAGCTCTATCCACTGAGCCAAACTGATTTTGGCTTTTCTTTTTTTTTTTTAAATTCTTTTCTTAAAACAATTTTTTGTTCAATTCTCCATTCATGCCATCATCAAAACCTCAAATAATTCATAAGTGCCTACTATTTCTCTGGCACTTTGTAAATATTTAGCAAAAACAAGATACATGATGCTTAAGTCCTACTTAAGTTTCTATTTAGTAATTGCATCCTGGGATTTACTTTAAAAGAATTCTGAAATCTTTTCTCAGAATGTGGAGACTTCTCCTAAGAGCTAGGTCTTTCATTTTCAATCTGAGAACTGCACAACCTTCAAAGCAAAGTCTTGTTGCATCTTTGCCATGTAAAAACCATGAAAACCAGAATCACTTGGAAAAACAAGCAGACTAGAGTTCAACAGTAATGCTTCTCTGCTATATAACCTTTGGGTACGGACTCTGAAAAATAGTCAGAAATTCATTGCTGTGAATTTAATGCTTTCACAATGAACACTTTTATATTTTATAGTTTTTTGTGGAAAAGGCATTAAGTGGAAAATTAGGTTATGAATTTTCTTCTAAGTTTCTGTTGAGTTTTATAGTCTGTGATTTCTTTATTACTTTTTATATTTTGAATAGATGAAACAGGAAATCATTCCTGCACAGTGTGTTAAGGATCCAACGTTATTTTCTTCAGTTTTGTTAGTCAGTTTATAGTAAGCATCACTTATTAACATTTATTAAATAACCTAGTATTTCCCAACACAAAATGATTGCACATTTATCAGATATTTCTCATACTTCCTATTTTAGTTCGAATTGTGTTCTAATGATCCAATTTCTATTTCTAGTTCCAATATCATTTTAATTAAAATAATTTTAAATTAAGTTCTAATTTTAAAAAAAAAAATCTTCCACTTTATTTTATTTTTAAAATCTGGTCATTGTTACACATACTTTTCTCCCCCAATTATTAGCACCAGGCTAATGGAAGTAAGACAGTCAGAGAAAGGTAAATATCACATGATTGTAACTATTTTCTCTCTTTTCCTCATTCGGCGTGGCTAGAGAGCAGGTCCAATTCCTGATTAGAGGCAGCTGGGGATTGAGAAATAAAAGAAAGAGACCAGACACAGACACAGAGATAGAAAGAAAAGCTGGGGCCCGGTGAACCGCTGCCCTCTTCTGATGGAGAGACAGTAACCCAGAGCCAATGAAGCATGTTTATTTTATACACCCAAATACCAGGAAGTTTCCCCCAAAGGTCAAGACAAAAGGAGATTATTTGCACTTTATGTAGGCCCTGAGCATTCCTTGTGCTAGGCTGGATTTAGAAATCAAAACCCACCACCCAATAGGGTGGGCTGAAATGAAGGTCAAGCTGACAACACCCTCGCCTTTTTGGCAAGGCGTGTTCCCAGGGTGTGGCTTTGCTGAGGCCACTGTGTTCAGCTGACAATAATTAAAGAATGCCCATGTGCCTTCCCAGGGGGCTCTCTACATATGATCTCACGCATTTGTGGGATATAATGATCTCATTCATTTGTTAAATACAATGAACAACATAAACTGATGAACAAAAATAGAGCCAGAAGGGAAAAGTATTCTAGAATATAATAGAAGTAATCCTTTTATTTGCAGATTTTTAATATTTGCTACAACTTTTGTGATATCATACTATGATAGTACAGTTTTGGTAATATTGTACTTAAAATCCTTTTATTTGTGAAATATTAATGTTATTGCATGTAATATTATATGTAAGATCATTTTTCCTTGAATAATTGGTGCTTATTACATGTAACATAAAATTTAAAATCATTCTTCTGGAGATATTAAAAAAAGAATAACATTTTATATTGTAAATCATTAACAAATAGAAATAGCAGAGGTCACAGATACACTGTATAAGGTGATGTAAATTTAGAGGTGTATCTGAGAAAATTAATTAAAAATACACATTTTAACATTCAGATTTTGAAATTAAATAATGTGCCAAAGTATAAGAATTATTAATAGAAAATGACAAGTGATTTTTTTTTCCTTTTCAAGTTTACAACTATTCTGTAAAATGTGTAATTTTGTTAAAAAAAAAAAAAAAAAAAAAAAGACAACATACAGAAATTTCTTTAAATTTCCTTATTCAGAACCTGATATCACTCCTCACTCCTGCCAGGGATTTTTTTTTTTTTTTTAACCATAGGCTTTAACTATATTTTTAATTGCTTTTTAGAAAGAGAGGAAGGGAGAGAGAGAGAGAGAGACATCTATGACAGAGAAACATCATCATCTATTGGCTGCCTCCTGCACACTCCCCACTGGGGATCCAGCCCACAACCAGGCCTGTGCCCTGACCAGAATCAGACTTTGACCTCTTGGGTCCTGTGTGGACTCTCAACCACCAAGTCACACTGGCCGGGCTCTGCCAGGGATTTTATGAAGATGTTCAAGAGGGATGAAAGTTTCAAAGTTGTTTTTTTAGTGGAAAAAAAAGAAGGAAAGTCACTTGAAGCCCTAATCACTTTTCTAAGTGCTGGCAGGAGTCCCTCAGTATCACTTTCAACTTCACTACTTAGGAAGAGAGAGCTGATCAAACTGTTTAATGTGGTTCTCTCTACAAACAGCTCTGGATCTATGGCCTCACTCTAAACCAGCTGCTCAGAGTGATGGTGCATGTGAGCCTGAGGGGACTCTAGTCCTGAATTCTTGTGGTCCAGAGCCCACAGGCCACTGCAGCCCAGAGCAGAACACTTATCCAAAGCACAGTTCAAGGAAACAGTGTCTTCTCATCCTGGTGCTTTTCACAACTGTAAACTATTTTCTGTATTCTGCCGTCCTTGGCTCTTTTCTCTAGTTTTATATTTGAAGATAATTTTGAAACTGCCTCCCAGCTACCTTTCTTCTGCAGACACAACGATCTTAAACACTTCTTCTCTCATCCATCTTGAATGACTACAATCTCAAAATGCATGCAATCAATCTTGTACTTGTGTATCATCCCTTACTTAATTTTCCTTCCTTTAGACTAATGTCTTTTATTCTGTGGACAATTTCCTTGACCAGTACAAGGCAGTTGATGGAGGGAATGTCTTATTTCTTCATTTTGATTAATTTCTTTGAAGTGTAAAGAGTATTTTGAAAATGTTCAAGTTTACAAATGTTTACTGTGTGTGTTTGGCAGTTTACAATATTCATGAATTTTATTAAAGCTATCTCATCTCCACAAAATAGAGACTCTTTATTGAGGGATATTTATATGCTCTGTTTGTAGAAATGTTTTTATTAAAACTCCATCATTAATATTGAAAAATGTATAAAAGATTTAAACAAGTAAACGGATGACCTACTCTTTAGTGAAGGGCAACAACATAAGAGACTAAGCAAATCAGTTTACAAGTGAGAGTAAATCATTGAAGCCAACAAACAATTTCATAAAAAGCCAAAAAATAAACAAGGCAATCAAAAATCATTATAGCCGAAACCGGTTTGGCTCAGTGGTAGAGCGTTGGTCTGCGGACTGGGGGGGTCCCGGGTTCGATTCCGGTCAAGGGCATGTACCTTGGTTGCAGGCACATCCCCAGTAAGGGGTGTGCAAGAGGCAGCTGGTCGATGTTTCTCTCTCATCGACGTTTCTAGCTCTCTATCTCTCTCCCTTCCTGTCTGTAAAATATCAATAAAATATATTTTTTAAAAATCATTATAAATGTTACTTGTTTTTTTAATGGCACATATTTTTATTTATTCCTACCCCTTCTCTGTTTTTAGTTGACTAATGTTATCTTTTAGTCCATCATAATAATTTTTTTTTTATTTTTACTCTGAAGGATTCTTTTGTTTTTCCCTTAGGCTTGAGTCACCGACCAGATCCTTGATAATGGAGGCGCCTCGAGGGGTCCAGGTGCGAGCTGCTGCAGGAGACTTCAAAGCCGCCTGCAGAAAGGAGCTGCACTTGCAGTCTACAGAGGGCGAGGTGAGTTCCCAGGGTAGCAGGTGGCTCTTTACTGGTGAGAGCTCTTCTGCTTAAAGTATATGCACATGGTTCCCGCTGAGACACAGAGAGCTGCTTCATAAGATAGCGATAATGATGACCATATTAATACTTCTTGAATAGGAAATTTGGCAAATCTAGCCGAAACCGGTTTGGCTCAGTGGTAGAGCATCGGTCTGCGGACTGAAAGGTCCCGGGTTCGATTCCAGTCAAGGGCATGTACCTTGGTTGCGGGCACATCCCCTGTAGGGAGTGTGCAAGAGGCAACTGTTGGTCGATGTTTCTCTCTCATCGATGTTTCTAGCTCTCAATCTCTCTCCCTTCCTCTCTGTAAAAAATCAATAAAATATATTTTTTTAAAAAGAAAGAAATTTGGTAAATCTAATGTTATTTTCTTAAGTCAAGGCTCTATTTATTTTATATGGAAAGATATTCATTTATATGCCAAGAAAGAATGGGGCATCTGAATTCTTATAGTTTCAAAATTGTCAGATACACATCATAAATGTCAAGATACTATCAAGAATAGATTAATATTTTTTAAAATTATATTTTGGTCTTAAAAACATTTTCATAAAAAGAATCTTGAATGTTTGTTTCTATGGAAATAATGCCTAGCCTGGCTGGCATGTCTCTGTGGTTGAGCATGGACCTATAACCAGGAAGTCATCAATTCCTGATCAGGGCAGATGCCCAGGTTGCTGGCTGACCCCTGATTGGGGGTGAGCAGGAGACTGTCGATCAATGATTCCCTCTCATCATTGAGGTGTCTATCTCTCTCTTGTCCTCTCTGACATCAATGTAAAAATATATATTTAAAAAAATAGTACCTACTTTTTTTTTTTAAAGGAAAACAAAAAGGAAAGTTTAATTTACTCTTTAACCATATTGTTATTTCCTGGGTAAGGAGATACTCTTTAATAGTTTTTTCTGTCCACTTTATTTACCCCAAGAATCTCCTTTAAGTCTATTGTCTTTTCTTTAAAGACCATCTGCTTTTTTTCACTGTCTGCTCTAAAGAACCTTTTGTCTTCAGTCTTCCACTCTTGCACTCTAATGCAATAGTCACCATTTATTCCCTTTCCCTTACTTGCTCTAAACACTGTGATTGCTGTGTCTGTAGAGTCACATTTTGTCAATTCTGCAAGTTAATCAGCCGAATGTCTTCACATATTACCTCTCCTCATTTTCTCTGTGGACTTTTTCTGGAACTCTGAAGAAATGCTAAGACTTTTCATTGTTTTGCTTTAAGATCCCTTAGTCTCTCCTTCCTACTTTCTATTTCTTTGTCTCCCTGTGCCTCACTCTGTTTATTTATTCAGGTCTACATGCCCAGGTTCCTCTTTAGTTTCTGACTGCATACTTGATCCCTACATTGAGCTTTTAATTTTAGTAATTATGTAATTCATTTCTAGGATTCTCATCTGTTGTTCTTTCAAATCTGCATGGACATTTTTGTAGTTTCTCTTTTGTTTGCCAGTTTGTTTTTAATTCTACCTTAATTCTTTCAAAGCCTTATATATAAAACATATTCTAGTCTGTACATTTCTACTGTGCCTCCCAAAACCCTTGAAGGGCTAAATCTGTTGTATTGCTGTTTATGCCAATCAATTCCCTTAGTATTTTCTTACTTTGTGTGCTTATTTACTTTGTATTATGAGTTTAGAAAGTTTAAATTGAGAAGAAAAAGAATGGAAGGCTAATTTAAGAGCTGTTCTGGCGCATTTTATACCTCTTCAGATGTAAAGATGAGAGCATAAATGAATAGACTCAAAGGGAAGCAATCTTTTTTTTTTTACTTTTATGCCATTATCTCAGTTGTTGACTCAAGATACATTTTAATTATATATTTTGCTTCATTTTTATAAACAAAGTCATTGTCAGAACCACATTAGCATCTTGTTACTACTTATGTGATCTAGAAATATGCTTTATGATATTTTAAAAACATATCCATATTACCTTTTAGGGCTCTTCCACTACTATTACATATTACAATACTTTGTAGTCTACAGCAAAACAGAAATCTTTCTAAATATCTCACATTCTTTTTAAAGAGTTGCTTTTATCATGTTAATAGTTCATTCAAATTATTCATAAGAAATATTGGTGGTTATTATCTTTGTTCTTTTCTTACTTACGCACCACTTTACTGATGTTCTTTTATTCAAAATATCAGCAGATTCCTCAAATCAATTACAGGTTGGCATTTGTAAAATGCTCTAAATAAATCATATCCAGAGGTATTCAGCTGTGGTCATTTTTATACTAATAAAACAAAGATGTAGAAAGGCATAGCACTTTATATTAGAATAAATATCATGTAATTTTCCTACAAAGAAATGTGAAATGATATAAAAATCTTTCTCTTTGCTTCACTGACTATGCCACAGAAAGGCAGATTGATCATTTATTAAACAATATAAAATGATGTCAAATCTATCTTTAGATAGTTTTTGAACTAGTTAAAATCAGAATGGGCATAGCATTGAGGTTTCCAAAACAGTGGACAAAATGTGTAAAAATGAAATTATACACAAAATCAGCAGTGTAAAAGATGCAGTTATTTCTCACAGTGTTACAAGGAATTTCAGATTCACCTCTGAGGACACTGTGAGTCACAGCTGTAAGGACACTGGGCATGTCATAATAGTATATGCAAAGCAATGGGGTATTTACATGTTACCAGATCACAGAGGAAGAAGAAAACAATTTTTATTTTGCAAACTGATTAAGGTTTTTTCCTCCAGCGATAGGTCTTATTTCAACAGGTAAGGGTGGGACAAATGAATTCTTAGTGGCGAGAACACAATGAATGGGCCATGAGTTAAAACCTCAGGGGTGTAATTTTGAGTACCAGAAGGAGTTTCCAAACAAATGGATTCCATGGTTTATAGGACAATATAGAATAGAAATATCAATTTAAGAAGTTGGAAAGCAAACAGCAGACAGAAAGAGATACAAGCAAGCCCATGACCAAGCCCATCCATGCTGCAGGAGCCTGCAGGAGCTGAGAAATGTTGGGTTGAAAAAAAATCAATATATATTGTCCCTTTTAACTCTTGACTTATTTTCTATCTAAGCCAATAAAATATATATTTTTTTTCTTTTTAAAGGCCCTATTCGTTTTAATTTATCTATGAATAAGATATACCTCCCTTATGGGGGTGAAGATAGAGTTTGGATCTCAGAAGTTTATGGAATTAAATATTGTCATAGAGCTAAATATTGTGTAGAGCTGCCCCTAAATGGGTAGGAGAGCTGGCGGGGAGTGCTATAAAGCTGAAGTGGGCCACACACCGTAAGGTTCAAGGCTAAGGCCATGATGAGGTCTCTACATCTGTGCTTGCTTCGAAGGCTGCCACCTGAGTACCCTTCCTGTATAAAAGCAGCTACTCTCTGCATTCATTCCCTCAGGCTGCACCAGTGGAAAGACAATTAGCTCCCAGCTATGAAAGCCAATGTAGCAGCACAGGGTCAAAGGGCAATGCAAATCGCCAGGGCTAACCAGTGACAAGTATGTCTGTGCTTATTCATAAGTGGACCATTCACAATATCTATAGTCATTTGATCGATCCCACATGACCTCCTTATCCACATGTTCTTTAGCTTCCCATGTTCCACTGTTTGTCATCTATGTCTCAAGTTTTCTTGGGCAAAACACCGGTCCTACCAGATCTTCTGAGATCTCAACTCCAAATATACAGACCCAAACCCCACCGTCCCAGAGCTTGCCCCTATAATAACTCAAGAATGTCTGCAAGTGTGCTAGCTCCTAAAGTAAATGTGAGGGAAGAGGGATGAGCTCTGCAATCCCGGTTCTTCTCTCAGACTCAACCAGGAAGAACAGTTTTGCCTTCTCCCCTGTGGAGACATGCAGGAAAGAGCCCCGCTTGTGTAACAATGTGTTGCCATCATTCATGTCCCTCAAGGAGGAAACAAAAGCCAGAGGAAATGAAGCCCAGCATCTGCACCCAAAAATGTATTGGCATTTTATTTTGCTGGTTTATATTTCTAATGTTTACATCGGTAAAACAAATCTGGAAATAACTAAAAGAGAAGGCCTTTTTTTTCCCCTCTCTACTTTCTTCTCACTTAACCTAGGAGTAAAGATGCTTTTTTTTTTTAATTTGAATAATGTTGTTAAATACAGTCATTCATTTGTTTCATAATCCATTTAGTCAACAATTATATTATGTGGACATTGTAGGTACAGGATCAAACACGATGGAATTATAAAAATAGTCAGATGTGGTCCTTCCTTCAAGGACAAAATTTAGTAGGGAATGTAAGATATAAATATGACTACAAAATAATATAATAAACTAGAGGCCCAGTGCTCAAAATTCATGCATGGGGGTTGTAGGAGTCCCTCAGCCTGGCCTGTGTTCTCTAAAATTCTGGGACTTCTCAGGGCGGGTCAGGCCTAAATCAGCAGTTGGACATCCTTCTCACAATCCATGATGCTATATGCACCAGTGATCATATTTTTCATACAGTGAAGGGCATCTTGCTGTGGTATGGGCAGCTACATTTTTTGCCCTGGTTATAAAAAGTAGTGCATAACATGATCCCTCTGAGGCAGTAGTACCATTTTCCCCATCTTATGGGTGGGAAAACTGAAGCAGAGAGAAGTTAAATAATTGGCTTTGTCACACAGGTATAAGTGTCAGAATCAGGGCTAACCACAGAATGTGCAAGCCAGAGTCCATGCATGTCATCGCTGCATCATCCTGTCTTTTCAGTGTTAGAGTAGCCTTGCCAGGTTTTAATTTTTAAATCTAAGAGACACTTCCCAAAATATAGGGTAGGGTTTTTAGACCTGACTGGCAATCAGGGCTGATCTGTGGGGCAACCAACAGGTAGAGTGATCTGGGGCCCCTGCTGGCACCTGTCTTGGCTGGTGGCCTGACACCACCCACCAGCTGGCCATGTCCCTTGATCTCCATAGCCAGTTGCCTCCCTCTCAAGGGCAACTGGACCAGTAAGTGTTGCTTGTTGTGAGGTCTTTCTCACCAGGCCATGTTGCAAACCTCTGAGCACTGGAGAATGCGACCCTGAATTAAAATGCAATTTCCTCCCCCATAGATATTTTTGAACGCGGACACCATTCGGCTGGGAAACCTGCCCACCGGTTCCTTCTCCTCATCCCCCAGCTCTTCCAGCGCACGGCAGACCGTGTACGAACTGTGCATCTGCCCCAACGGCAAACTGTACCTGTCCCCTGCCGGCCTGGGCTCCACCTGCCAGTTCAGCAGCAGCGTCTGCCTGTGGAGCTGAAGGGACCGATGCCTCCTCCTCACACCAGAATAGCCTTTTGTTCCCGTCTGTCTGCTTCACGGTTCTGCTCGGTTTCCCTTGTGATCGGTCCAGAGCTGCTGCGAGTGGTCCACAGGCCAGCTGCCACCTGCTCCTGTGAGGGACTGCACCGCTCAGCACGGAGGGTGAGTGGCAGGACAGCTGAAACTCCTCAGCAGGAAACCTGGATCACACACCTTCGGCTCAAAGGGAGAATAACATAGGTGCCTTTGCTACATGAAGTGAAGCACACGGTTTTAGATTTTTTTTTTGCAGGACCTGGATACACACGGCACATAGGACCGCTACATGGATGCAATGCCCAGTGTCCGATGGCAAGAGGGAACGGTTAACCCTGTGAGAAAACTAACGTTGCGGTCTGAAAGCACAATTTTCCATTCATCTTTTTAGATGTACATGCTCCCCTCTACCACCTCCCCCTTCCCTCCAAGAATTTTAAAATGTTAAAGCATTATGTAATGGTTGCTTTACTAAAAATTAAACATTCGATATATAGGTTTTTTTTTTTTTAACAAAACAAAACAAGACAGAATCCCACCCTGAGTTTTGTTTCTTTCAATTCAATGTGTTGGTACTCTTTGTCTACTATGTCAAGGATTTTGTACATGAGCTAATTTTGAAAGCACTCAGCAATATATTTTACAGAATGAACCATAGGCCACCATGCTGCCATTTGTCAGGTCTCCATGTCCTTATGTAGTATTTACTTGGCTATGGCATGTAACATATTTACTTTTAGCAAAACATCTAATTTATTGCGATATAAGGTAGGATTAAGAGTGCCATACAAGTGCTGTGGGTCCACAGGCTATTTGTCACATGGAGGATCTAAAGGTACAATTTTTGTTTGCACCATTCACTTTATACTTGACTCTGACTGATAAATTCAAACATTCTCTAAATAAATGAAACTAATGTGCTGCATAGTGCTGAGAATGGATTCACTTTCCACTGGAATATCATCTTCAGAGGTAGATCTATTTATTTTTTTTTCCCACTGGAGATCAATATTTAAGGACAGTAGAAACTAAATTTAAAATTCCTGCTCAAATAGTAAAAGAAATACAAATGTTAACAAATGTTGAAGATGTGTTTGCATCATTAGATCCGTATTTTAAGGAATTTGTTCTTTCGCCCTTAACGTTGACTTTTGTCAGACACTTACGCTGCCCTCCTACCAGAAATCATAGTTTCTTCCATTCTTCACTGCTTATTTTTATAAATTAGCCTCTGAAAAACAACACTGGAACACTGTAGGTTCATTTATCACAACACCCCTTAATTCAAATTTTTTGAACCTTCCAGAATCCAAGAATGTCAAATTGTATTAAACATTTTGTATTATGGGGACAATGACTTGATTACTCTAAGGTAAGTCCTTAATTTTTATATATCAACCAACCTTCCCAGGCTGTCCCATGAACATGGATCCAGGTGCATGGGAGCTTCATTCTGAGGGACCCTGACTGTAGACACTGGAGTTCAGGCCTCCACAGCACAGAGACAAGTGGGACAGTAAGACTTGTTGAGGTTATTGTGGTAGAGGAAGCAGGAAAACAGGTAATGTAAGCAACAGAGTGAATGATTTAGCCAGAATCATTTTCTTTGCATGATCCATCATATCAAATAACTGAGAGAGCTCCATTTCATTCAGTACGTTCTATACTCAGCAGAAGCAGAAAGCTAGTGCAGTCTTATTACTTTTAAAAGAGAATTTAACTTGTGTTTGGGATTTCTTAAGTAAAGTTTTAAGTCAACATTGGAGGAAGGATTAAGATATGCTATTACTGCTATTGCTTAACAGTCATATCAGAACATACGACTTCAATTTATATAAATTAAAATATTAGAATTTAACATGAGACATTCTCATATGTTTTTTGCAATAAACTAATACAAAGTACAACACAAGAAATTTTGAGAAATTATGAATGCTAATTACTGTTACAGACTTTTTCAGAAAACACTACTTATTCATTTGAATCATATTTAAGTTGAAAACACCTTAAACAACTAGAAGGGTTCTTAATCAGAAGGTAACAGGTTTTCTTTTATTAGTAATTAGCTGTGTTTCAAATCTCAGCTCTGTCTTCTACTGATACCGATCATGAGCTGATTTAGGCATCTGGGGAAATCTCCAAGCTTCTGTTTACTCAACTTTGCAACAAAAGTATTGAATCACATGGTCTCTTGAGATTCCTTCCACCTCAAACATGTTCTGATTTCAAGAGCAAATATTACAGGAGGTGGAAGGGGCCACAGAAATGTTAGATTATGTCATAAGAGGAGAACAGATGAAAAGAGTGAGGAGATAAGACCCTGTAAAAACTAATCTAGTGAGGGGCTATCAATGTTTGAATTCAAATAGGTTCTGAAATGTTATAGAAATAATTAAAAAGAAATATATAAGCTAAGAGATTGAGATTTACATCATATGTCTAGATGATGTAAACATATCTGTTCAATTTAGTAAGAAAAAATGTTGATACAGATGGTTTTCCTCTCCAATACCAAATAATCGGGGACTGGCTGCTTTACATTCTTTAGTTTCTATGTATAGACTCAGGTGCAGAGTTCGAGCTTCTGTTGAAGACACGGAAGACTGCTCTTAAAAGTCCTTCACTTTCTTACAAAGATTTGATTCCTTCCTAATATAAAGCACTCCCTCCATTGCAGACAACCCAGGAAGATTCATTGTCTTTGTTTCCAGTACCATTTTTACATCACAACATATGGAAATAGAGTCAAGTTTATTTTGTTGCAAATTTAATCTTTTCTCAATCAAACTCAGAAAAACAATGATTAAATATGATACATGAACCCTAAATTTTACATTCAGCTTAGCTATGGATAGCAGGAAGGGAGAGGGAAGAAGACAGGCAGGTTAAATGGGAAGGAGAAGGGAAGGAAAGGGACTACTCTTGGCATTTACATCCTAAACTCAAGTAATTTAAAGGAAAAGAAGCAAGAGGACAAACGCTTTTTTCCCCCCAGAATATTTCAGTAAGATACTTCCAAAAAAATAAAATACACTTTCAAATTTCATGTTTCTTTTGCTCTGTATCACTAAGATGTCTATCCTATACTGCTTTATCTTGTTTTTGTTTGTTTGTTTGTTTTAGGTTATGAATCATAAGCTTTATAATCTGGTACAAAAGTATTTATTAAAGATTTTTTTTAAAAATGCTCCAAAATTTACATTAACCTGAAAATCTTAGAGTTGGTATCCCAAACCTTTGAAAATATAGCCACAAGTTCTAATTCTAGTTCTGCTCCTGTTCTCATGTGACCTAAAGAAATATAATTAATTATCTTGGCCAGAGCTTACTTGTCTGTGAAAGGGGTATATCAAACTAGGAGGATTTTGTTGTTGTTGTTATTTTCAACTCTAAATTTAATTGGTTCACTTAAGACTCAATACTCTTGAGTTCAGTAGCACAGACTAAACTGGCATCATTCATCTCTTCTGTACTTTACTTAACATGTTGCTTATAAATGTTGAAATGCAAGTCTTCCAGCATGCTACTCCCTATTCCTTTGTTTTCTATGCTCCCTTTTTTGCTCTTACCATTGGAACATTAATGTCTCTTTTAAAAAATAATGCTTTTTTGACAGGTTTCAGTAATTTGGTTGACCTTCAAAAGAAAAAGAATATATTTGGATCTTATGAAAATGACTATTTAGGGAAATAATGGAAACATTTACCAAATGTTAATACCCTGTCGGTCATTCTATTATTATTTATTAAATCAAACCAAAAACCATTGTGTGTTTCTAAAGGTAATTTGATCAAAAAGGTCAATTGCTAAATTTTTTATAATATGCCATTCAAAATTCCTATGTAATTCTAACATCTGAATTACTGAATTGGATAGTGCCTCATTTTGTAAAATTGGCATTTGATACAATAAAACTTTAATGAATTATGCCATAGCAAAAATGATATCTCTGAATGAGGCAGCAATAGGTAGAGGGCTGGTGAGTGTTTAATGCATTTACGTGGCTAAATTTTATAGCAGGTCATGTCAACATCATAATACTAAACTGTTGTAGTTAATGTTACTTAATGGCCAAATTCTATATAGCCAGCAAAGCAAACACACAGTTCAGTTGTATATTAGTGAGGTCTTGTCACCTTCTTTCAGTAGCTTTGGTCTAGTTAAAACTGCTCATGTGAGCCTTTTTAGAGATACTTATTTTCTCTCTATACTCTTATACATTATAGTAATGAATATTGCAAAATATCATAAGTAAAATAACATTGTCCTTTTATTCTTTTAAAATAATCATAAACAAATAAATGTCCTCCCTGAACATTGTTATTCATATTGTTTAATATTGCAGTTCATTAGTTGTTTCAATCTCGAAGACCAAAGATTGAGATTTCTATTATATTGAACTCTAAAACACTGCTGCTTCTACTAATTTATTCAAATTAATAGCAGGGCTTATAATTAGAATGTGAGGTAGTAAACATTCTCCTTGCCAGATTCGGAGCTGTTGATGATTAATTAATGCTTTTGTTTTAGAAGGAAGTCTTTCTTAGTGTAGTCCACTTATCTTTTATACATGCATAATAAAATCCTTGTTATCCACAAAACCAGTATGTAAAGACTATATCCCCACATGGGCCCAAGATGGATTTACTGAGCTGAGTTTACACTTTCCTAGCTTGCTAAAAATTCCTTGGAGAATATAATTAATTTGAAATACTTTCAGAACCACAGGGCTATTTTTTATGTTGATGGAAGAGATTCCAATCTTTGAGAAAGTCAATGAAAAACACTAAAGGAAATGAGGTATAATGAACCGTGATTCTTTTTGTTTTTGCGTTCTTAATATCTCATTTGTTTGAATATTTATAAATGAAAGCCAAACAGGGTTAACAATGTGCAAGGACATTCCCTAACAATGGAGATGTGTAATTTTTGTGTTTCGGTGTCTCGTTTTATACGATTCTT